GGGACTAATTGACTAGTCGCTTACATCCCTATCTCAGTGACAGCTGATCAAAGGCAGCTTCAAGACCCTGGGCTGATACAACATAGTGGGCCTTCTAGACAACTGCCTGTCCTTGGGGCTCCTAGTCAATGACAAAAAATTCATTCTAGTGTCAATTCAAAGGACAGAGTTTGTCAGGGCAGAATTCAACTCCACCAGTGCAAGGGCATTTCTTCCCCACATGGATACCAAGCCCTGGGAAGCCTCATCACAGAGGTATACAAGTTTCCCTTAACTATATCTAGGGTTCTTCTGCACTCATTGACACACATGGTTGCATGTCCATACATAGTCTTCTGTGCCATACTCCATAGTTGGGGGAGGGATAGCTCAGTGATTTGAGCGTTTGGCTGCTAAACCCAGCGTTGTTCGTTCAATCCTTGAGAGAGCCAGTTAGGGATTTGAGGCAAGTCTGTTAGGGATGGTACTTGGCCCTGCTGTGAGGGCAGAAGACTGGACTCAATGGCCTCTCAAGACCCCTTCCAGTTCTGTGAAATAGGCATATCTCCATATGTGGCTACTCCAGCAATGGCTGACATCTGCTTACTCCCAATCCCAGAATCATCTGGGCAACATTGTCATGATTCCCTCCAACAGTACTTACTTCCCTATAGTGTGGAATTTTTCATAGAAAGACATGGCAGGATTCCCATTCAACACCCCAGCTGCCTCTCTTGAACTGATATTGGACACCTCAGATCTTGGCTTAGGCACAGACTTCAGAAATCTCCAAACCCAATGGTTGTGGGCCCCATGAAGATACATTGTTGCTTATAAACACCAATGAACCAAGTGGTTCATCTGACCTCATCTGACTTGTAGGGTCTTCCTGCTTCACACCTTCTTCCAGGTGGTATAAGTCCCTCATGGACCACATGGTCTTGATGTTCTATATCAACAGGAAAGGAGGGGTGTACTCATTGGTTCTTTGGCAGGAAACACTCCACCTTCTGCATCAGCCACAATAGCCACGTGGAGCTGGATCACTTCCTAGGAGATGACAATGCCCTAGCAGATCACCTTAGCAAGGACTTCTTTTCTTACCATGAGTGGTCAGTTCATCCAGAGGTAGCCAGCACAATCTTCCAGAGATGACAGTTTCTCCTAGTGTACCTGTTCACCACCAGGCAAAACAGAGAGTGTCTCTGGTATTGCTCATGGCAGGGACTGAGCAAAATCTCTTTCTCTGATACCTTTCTCCTGTTGTGGTCTGAGGGTCTGCTGTATGCATTCTTGCCAATCCTTTTTATCAGTGGGATCTTGGTACAGATAAAATGAGACAAAGCTCAGGTTATCATGACTGCTCCTATGTGGCCTTGCCAGTACTGGTTTGGTACACTCGTGAATATAGCACTATTGTCTCCCTGGCACCTTTGCAATCATCCAAACTTGTTGTCTCAGAACTATGAACAGTTTCAGCTTCCCAAACTCACATCTATGCGCCTTTTGGCATTGATGCTCCATGGCTGAGCATGAAGGAATGTACCTGCTCAGAGGTCCAGCCGGTCTTTCTAGGAAGCAGAAAGCCATCTACAAGGCTGATTTACCAAGCAAAGTGGACAAGGTTTTTCCATTGGGCATCGGATTGTGGTATCTCTCCCATGTGTTCTCTAGTGCAATCCATTCTTGACTACTATCGCTCAGGAACCAAGGTCTGGCTCATTCCTACAGTAGAATGCATCTTGATGCTCTCTCCTTTTCATAATCTGATCTAGAGGCAGATAGTGTTCTCCCATGACATGATGGTGAGATTACTGTGGGACCTCTTGCAGCTCTATTCACAGATTCAAGTCCCTGTTCCATGGTGGGACCTCAACTTGGTCCTCTCTAGGCTCCCCAGGGTGTTCTTCAAACCACTTGGACCCTGCTTCCTTTCCTACTTGTCCTGGAAAGTTGTGTTTCTGGTGGCAGTGACATCAGTGAAGTGTATCTCGGAGATCAGAGTTCTGCCCTACATTCTCTTCTAAAGGGGCGGGGAACCTTTTTTGTCTTGGGGACACACACATACACACACACCAACCACCACCACCACCACAACAACCACCCCCTCCCCACTGACCTGACCCCTAATGAGGGGAAAAAATAATAAAAATCTCCTCACAGATGTGGTCCCCAACTGAGAAATGGGGAAAAAAGTCAGGACTTACCCCCAGGTCTATATTAAACTTTTGGAGATCTGGAGTTAGATTTTGTGGGCCCCCTAGACTCTGGGGTGGAGCCAACAATGAGGGGTGCAGTGTGCAGGAGGGGGTTACTGGGGAGCAGACTGGGAGTGAGCGTACAGGGTCTGAGTGGACATAGGATGCAGGAGGGGGTTGGGGTAGGGTGGCATGAACTGCTCAGGGAGGTAGAGTGCAGGATTGGGGTAGGAGTTGGGGGCCTTTGCAGGAGGGAGAGTGCAGGAGCAGGGGGTCTGGATGGGAGGGAAGGCACAGGAGGAGTTTGGGTGGGAGGAGGAAGGGTCTGGGCAGGAAGGAGGGTGCACAATTGGGCTGGGGTAGGAGTGTGGGATGTGGGCGGGAGGGGCAGGAGATTGGGGTGGTACCTGGTGCAGTTCCAGGGGAGAGGCTCACACATGTCTTTGCACAGCTCTGCAGCTTAAGGGGTTTGGACAGCAGCTGTGTCTGTGTCACTTTATCAGGGCTCCAATCTGTAACAAAGGAGAGATGACTTAAGTCACCTCAGGTACTGGTCTCAGGACTTTAATTTCAGGGGTAGGATAATCTTGTCTTTTTTTTTCTGGCATTTCTCTCAGAAATTCTATTTGAACAGTCTGAAGCACCCATAGAAATTTCTCCCCTCTAGTGAGACACTTAGTCATAGGGTTAGAAGAGACCTTAGGTGGTCATCGAGTCTAACCCCCTGCCCAAAGCAGGACCAATCCCAACAAAATCATTCCAGCCAAGGCTTTATCAAGCCAAGACTTAAAAACCTCTAGGAATGGAAAGTCTACCACCTCCCTAGGTAACCCATTCCAGTACTACACCTCCCTTCTAATGAAATAGTTTTTCCTAGTATCCAACGTAGACCTCCCCCACTGCAGCTTGACACCATTGCTCCTTGTTTGTCATCTGTCACTACTGAGAATAGCCTCTCTCCATCCTCCTTGGAACATTCCCCTCCCCTTCAGGTAGTTAAAGGCTGCTATGAAATCCCCCTCTCACTCTTCTGTAAACTAAATAAGCCCAAATCCCTCAGCCTCTCCTTGTGTCATGTAATCCAGCCCCCTAAAGAGAGTCCCCCCAGATTCATGCAGTGATTTTATGTTCTTTGATTGGTCTGTCCCTTCTTCTGAATCTTTTTCAGCAGAGCATTCCAAGGGGTCATCATGGTTTGAGGTGACTGATGGCCACCAGAAAGGCTTTTTTCTATGCCCCTTTGCATTCAGTGTAAAAGTAGTATGTAGCGAGGATCAATTACTGTTATACCTATTCTCTCCTGGGATATGATTCCTTATAACTATCGAGCAAGAGTGGCACAGGGGGAAATTGAGAAATTTGTACCATGTGTAATGCTAAATACTGTAGACTCAGTAAGAAAAATAAGATTATCAAGGAAAGCTTTTTTACATAAAGGAAAAATTAAAATAGCTCTCACTATAGATCCTTTTGGTTCCTTGTTGCCCACTGAACTATGTACCATTGCATAAATGGACTCTTTCTCCCATTAAGTCTGCAGAGGTGTTTTGGACATCTGACAGTTCTTGCTTGAGTGATATCCTGGAGTAGTTGTGCAACTTAAGACTCCACTCATGCTTTCCCATGAGGCTTTTGTGACAGTTGATGTTCTCTCATACCAACACACTTCAGTATATTGGAGCACATCTTGGTTTAAAGACTGTCTCTGATTTTGTTGGGATACTCTTTCTGTTTGAACTAAGTGGGGGTTTTTTTGTCAGTTACACTGGTTAGAAAGAAAAATAAGTTCAAAGCAGTCATTTCTGTGTTTCTTTGGGACTTTGTTAGCCCACCCTCCAAGGTTTCCCAGATAGAACTCTTAACTCTGAATGTCACAAACTATATCTTGACTTCACTTCACAAAGCATGTGAGTGAAACCAAGAGTAGTGAAACTCTTGTAACAAATCCTGTGTAGAGCTGAAATAGGCAAGTGTACAAGCAACATGAACTGTCAAGTATATTTTTGATTGTCAGTATATATGTGAATATAAAAAGTAGGGGGGTGTCATAGTATGTATCTCATCTGGTAAGTACTTTCTCCTGTCAGACACTGATCTTTTATGGAGCTTACCTTTTTCATGAGTAATTTTTTTTCTCTCCTTCATGATGAAAGGTGATAATTTTTGTGACTATGGTTAAGAGTGCAGTTCTATTAAGTCTCCTTTACTTCAAGATGTAACTTGGTCATAAATATTCACTCTAGAGTGAACAAATGACATGTAATTGAATGTCTTTGATCATTTCCTATTTTTAATCAGCATTCAGAAAATATATTTTGGTCATTTCTGATATACATGTTAAGCAAAATTTAGAGGTAAGTGTACCTTTTTGTCTGAACTGTCATTCATGTTTAAATTCAACACTTTACGCCTAAGTTTGAATAAAGACTCTAATTATCTTACCCATTACAAAGATAGCTTCCTAATTATCACCTCTAATATCATAAGCTCACAAACATTTACCTGCCTCCCCCATCCCCCTTCTGTTCTGAAATTTGATTTGTCCTTTTCATGTGTGTTCATTTTTTAAATTGTATCCTTTGATATATATGGTTGTGACAATTTTCTTCCACTATTTGATCTGAGGAAGTGGTTCTGGCCCACGAAAGCTCATCACCCAATAAACCATCTTGTTAGTCTTTAACGTGCTACATAGTCCTGTTTTTTGTTTCAGCTACACCAAACTAACACAGCTACATTTCTATCATTGTTCATATACAGTGAGCTTAATAACAAGTTAAATCATTTCTCATTGTCTTAATACATTTTGTTTCTGTCTTACAGATCTACTGGAGAGGACTTTCAGGAGAGAAGAAGAAATGGAAGTTCTACAGGTATATCTCTTAATTAGACTGAATAAACTTTGTTTTTTATAACCTTCCTTCTTAATTCCTGCTTCCTAAATTGAAATAGAGAAACCTGGAAACCAAACAAGGATGGCTAGCCAAAAAACCCACCCTGCTAATTTGCTTCCTGCTAGCCAATAGCTGGATTCATAATAGAGCAGACTTAACTGGCTAGTAGTCTTCTATGTGGTGGCTGTACTTCTGTTTATCTGTTCTACTCACGATATCACAACTACTTCTGAAATTAGACCCAATTACTCTCGTGTTCTATAGGTAGCATATACAATTCATTGAGTGCTTTCCCTTCTGAGATTGAGCCAAGCTGTACTGATTTTGTCTTAGTTGGCAGTTGTCTGTTTATAGCATGTTTCACACTTCTAAACGCATGCACATACACAAGGACCATGCAAATGCATTCAGAAATTTATGAAAATACTCCATTTTTTTTGTTGGGAAAGCAAATTCCAGTACTTGGAAAAGTTACTTAAAAGACTAGATGTTTTATAAGAAAGTTATAATGCTGTGCACACACGTGTATTGTGGTATGTGTGTGTGTATGTGCGTGTTTACATTGGTTTGTTATGTTGATTCATCTTCTTGGAATATATTTTTTTCCCCATAACATTAAGTAATATGTCCAATTTAGATGCAGTTTTCATCCCAGCTAACTTTGTAAATCTGTGTGTCACTACTGCATGTGCATGTGTGTTCTGGCAGCAGTGTCCAGTGGAATTCAATAAATGAAGCACTAGAGGGTGGTTGACTCTCCAATGTCAAAACCCTTGGTGGATGTACAGAATTTAATGTCATCCAGCATCGAAGTGGTTAACTGTATTAGCACTTATTAAATTAGTCTTCAAATCATCTACTTTTTATCCTTAGATCCAGCACTGGAATACTATTTATGCATACTTTAACAGTCACAGTTGGTATTCATTCCTTTGAATTCAAAAGGAACAGGAAGGCAAGAAATAAACCAATATGACTAAATGGTGAGGTTCAAAACTCGTTTATTCAAGCAAAGCAAGTAACTTTCAGAAAATGTAAATCAAGCCCATTTGAAAATAAAAAGCAAAAAATACAGCAGGCAACATGGAGTATGGAAGTTATAGAGCTAAAATAAGATTTGAAGAACAAATACACATAAATATAAAAAACCAAATAAGACATTATTAACTGTCAGAAGTAGGAAGATCGTGAAAGAATCTCTAGGACTGCTGCATTAAAAGGGAGTAAAAGGATTAATTAAGAAGGATAAAGCTATTGTGGAGAAGTTAAATGGCTTATCTGCATACATTTTTGCTATGGCTTAGGCAAGTCCTTTTGGATTGCAAAGATTGGGTACAGTCAAAGAGTAAGATGTCAAAATAACTAGTACAGGACTAAACGAATAAATTAAGAAGCAACAAGTTACCAGGCCCAAATAGTACACTCGGGTTCTGAAAGAATGTAAGAATTGAATGACTTGGCTGAAAAATTAACCTTTGACTCTTTGGGTTTACTTAATTCTATGCTTTTTTTTATTAACTTCATTCATGTTTCACCTCTCCCCTAAAGCTTGTACCCAGTCAATATGGGGATAATTGAAAATACCCTATTATTATTGATTTTTCTGTTTTTATAGAGTCTTTAATTTCCAGGAGAATTTCACAATCAGCATCTTGATCAGGTGATTGTTGGTGTGTGTGTACTGCTATATTCTTATAATTCAAGCACAGAATTTCTATCCTTAGAGATTGTATGGCACAGTTGGATTCATTTAAGATTTTTACTATATTTAATTCTGTGCTTTCCTTCACATAGAGCACCACTTCCCTATTAGCATTACCTATTCTGTCATTCCAATATATTTTGTACCCTGGTATTACCATGTCCCATTGATGGCCATCATTCCACCACGTTTCTGTGATGTCTATTATATCAATATCCTCATTAATACCAACCACTTAGGTTCACCCACCTTAGAATTTTGACTTCTAGTGTTTGTATGCAAGCTGTAGTGGACCCTTCCCTCCAGTGGGAAAGGAAGCCACTCTTCATCGATGTATTGGGAGTAACTCCTTGGCTCAGGTCGCACTGGTGGGGCTGAAACTTAAGCATTTTATAGTTCAGTAAACATCTAACAGAGGTAGACAAGCAATAACAGTCTGCTGCTCTTGTCCCCATCCTCAGATGGGGCTGAGTATTCAGTAGTTTTTAGTTCACAGCCCCTGAGGTGGGATTGGCAGTAATTAAGTCTAAGGCTTTGGTGCTTTGAGTGTGGCACAGCAAAGACAGGCTAAGGCAGCCAGTGAATGCGCACAGTCTGGGGCTGTAGCTCTTTGGTCAGGGTTGGATAGGGAACAGGCTATAGCCTAAGCCTCCTAGCTAAGTCAGCCAACAGACATAGAATTCAGAGCGCATGTAGGGATGACCACCCATAGGGGGCAGCACCAACCAAGTCTGCTTTTCCAGCTTGATGGACAGTAGATGTACGCAGGCCTTAGACCCCCCTCTCCTCCCCCTCCCCCCCAACTCTGCTGCATCCTAATCCAGCGCTCTAACAGCAGTGAAGTCGTCTGCTACACATTGACCTAAACACAGACAGCAACATAGCTGGACTGTTGTCAGCTGCCAATGGGTTACCGCCTATCTCTCTGGGGCTTGGTACCTATGGAATCCACAGGTCCTCTGGCTTCTCTGAGTACACAGCAAACAGCAGTCTTTTCAAGTCTCCTTCTGGATCCTTTTTTTCCATGGACTGGGTACCACAGAGCACATATTCATCTCCTGGGTGCCACAGTAGGGTGGAGACACCCATCTTCTTCCTTGGCTCCTGCCCAACTCAGCTGCAGAGCCCTTCCTTTATACTTCCTGTCCCACCTAGTACTCTTGGCAAGGAGGCAGGGTAGATTTGGCTTTACCCACTGGGGAGTGTAGTAGTCCCTCACTCTCCAGTCTGGAGGGAGGCCATACTGCCTCTCAAAACAAGTCCTTATAAAATCTGTCACTTTTTAGCTGTCTATCATGATGTTATATAACTGAATTGAACTTTTTTCATTTGACTCTTTTTTCTTAAGTTCCTATCTGTATTTTATCAGCTTCCATCCTCCTCTTCTTATGAGGATACATAGAATTCCCATTAATAAAGCCTCCCCTAACAGATATCACTGTCCAAACGATGTGTTTCTTTGTACCTGATGTCTTTCCTACAGCCCTTAGTTTAAAAATTCCTCTACAAACCTTTTTAATTTGAAACATTAGCAATTTGGTTCTGTTTTGGTTTAGGTGGTGCCCACCCTTCCTGTATAGATTCCTCTTTTCCCAAAAGAATCCCAAGGTCCTAATAAATCTGAATCGTTCCTCCCTATACTATTGCCTCATCCACTCATTGAGACCATGCAGTTCTTCCTCTCTAACTGGGTGTGCATGTGGAATTGGAGGCATTGCACCATGGAGTTCCTTAACTTCAATCTCTTACCTAGCAGCCTAAATTTGGCTTCCAGGGCCTCTCTCTCTTATCATTTCTTATAATTTCAGAAATGTGATTTGTCCTTTTCATATTTGTTCATTTTTTTAATTGTATCCTTTGGTATATATGGTTGTGACTATTTTCTTCCACTATTTGATCTGAGGAGGTGGGTCTGGCCCACGAAAGCTCATCATCTAATAAACCATCTTGTTAGTCTTTAAAGTGCTACATAGTCCTGTATTTTGTTTCAGCTACACCAGACTAACACGGCTACATTTCTATCACTATTCTTCATTGAAGCTTGACATTCTTGTTCATTTTGTATTACATTTTTTGTAACTAGTGTTTTGTTTCTTGTATCTACAATATTTGTCTATTCTCCTTAATAGTGCTATTATTTTATTATAAATATTTTGTACAGTAGTGTAGTCCAATTTCCTTACACATTTATGAACTAGTCAAATAAGTAAATCCTTTCTCCAATCCCTTCAAATCAATTGGGGCACTGACAAATTACATGAGGGGAGCATTTCTTATTGCAGTATAGCAACATGAATGCAAATGGATCCTTTGAGCTGCTTTTACTTCTCAGACGCATCAAGGCAATGAAAACTTCCTACAGAATCTTGGAGTCTGATCTTGATTTACAATATTTATCTTTGCAACTGAGTGCACTGGTTTGGGGTTATATTACCACCTCATTGTTAAAGAAGCCAAGACGTTGGTGGTACTCAGCAATTGTTTACTAAATGTCTGGAAAATCTATTCATGTTTTTAAAAGGTTTGTTAATACTTTGTGCTAGTGGAGATCTTTGTTCTAACTTTAATTGATAGAGCAACATCACTTTTAAAATGCATATTTTTTCCATAAACATAAAACAAAATAGAAATGTACAAAAAGAGCAGGTTGGACAAAGCACTTTGTGTTGTGAAAACAATTTTCCTCCTCTTCCTTTTCCTCCTGGGCTAGGATCCAACCTCTAATGTGAGGCTTAGCTCAAGCTACCAGCATTTTTTTTATCCAGCCTGAACAATTTACTTGTGTAGAGACCATAAAGAATTAACCCTTAATTACATATAAAGCTACCATAGAGTCTCAGAATTCAGGTTCTAGCTTTCAGGTCTCAGTCTAGCTTTGTAGCTCCATTTGTAGGAACTGGCACATTACATTAAATTATTGCTAAGCCAGGCAAGATAACAAGTTGACCTTGTTTTAAAAAAAAATGAAAGAAAACTTTCATTTCTTGTCTTTGTTTGAGAATGAAGTTTTAAAACCTCATTTTATTTCACCTTGCTATAAAAATGAGGACCATAAGCTTTAAGGATGGGGCAAATATTGAGACTGATTAGCTAACTTGAGTGTATGAGCCTATTATATTCTTCCCACAAGTAGAGAGTTGGAAGTATTGCAGATGCAGTGGTCTTAGTTTTTTGAGAGATGGACACAAGACCGACTGTTCTCAACATCCTTTCATAACCATCCAAGGTACAGCAACATTATGACAGCTTTTGGAGAACTGACAGGAATAAGAGTCAT